TTCTGGGCCGAATTTGGGCTTTTCTTGGGCTCAACTTTTGGGTTTTGCTTAGTAAACTAGCCCAAATCCAATTATTTTCTTCAAAAACCTGAAAAATAAAATAAATCCAATTAAAATTAAATCCTCTAAATTTAGGAATATTTGAAATTAAAATCACAAATTTGATAAAATAATTTGACAATTATGAACATTAAAAGTGTAAATTTGTGCACTTATCAATCCTCCTCCGTTGTCGAGGGGACCCTTGCGGCTTTCTTTTTTCTCGGCGCCTGAGAAGAAGAGCTGGCTTTCTCCTTTCCCTTAGAAGGAGGTTGTTGGCTCGGCGGGGGCTGCTGGCTTGACCCGGACAGCTGACTGCCGGGAAGCTGAATCCTCAAATATGCCATTTCTACAGAAACGACGAGACAAAGATATAGTCAGCGTTTGGAAAACGAAAGCCATGATAAAAAAGGGCGTCGAAAGCATAAATTACCTTCGTCGCTTAAATGAAAGTATTTGCGGACGGCGTCTAGATCAGCGGGGTCTGGGAGATCAAGGATTAACCCGGCACTTCGAAGATTGGCCTGGGTCAGGAGGGTGTTAATATGACGAACCTCAGACAGGAACGAAAAGGCCTCTCGATCATCGCCAAGCTGTTCCCAGAAAATTTTAGCCGGTCCTGACTGACTGAAATATAAAAAGATTGTCGGCGTAAGAAAGAAGAAAGCAAAGTAAGGTGAAAGAAAGGAAATCGAAGCCTCACCCATATTCCCAAACGACGCCTGCACCTTCCTTTGGCGGGGCAAGCAGTCGTCGGGATGAAAATTGAACGGGCCGCGTATCATAAAAAATATGAGTTTCCACCCATGTGACGACGAGGGAATGCCCAGAATTAACTTGCCAAATCTGGGCTGAGATCTCATGTGTCCGCTCAGAAAATACCACCCTTCGCACTTGGCAACATGGCACAGCCTGTACATGAATCTAAACTCATCCAGAGGAAGATCCATGTCAAACTGTTGGTGCCATAGGATCCAGGCGCCAGCGAAGTAGTACCAAAAATTTGGTGCCAGTTGGGCGGGGGAAATGCCGTAAAAGTGGCAGTAATCCTTTACGAAGGGATGAACCGAAAGGGTCATCCCCGCAGTAACGGCCCTGGTGTAAACATGGAGGAATCCGGTCGGGGGCATACTAGTCCTGAAATGCATGTCTGGGAAGAGGTATTCGAACCACCTCCCGTCGATGCATCCTTCCTTTACCACCCCGGATGATATCTTTATTCCGGACCCTCGACGCCACGGAGTCAGCTGTGAAGGAAGGCCGATCCGGGTCTCCACTTGTAGTGGCCAGCGGGGCATCCACCAGAGAAGCGGCGACACCACATACGCTGCCACCTGTAAAAGGCCTCCTGTCGACGTCTTCGTCGATCATTTGGTAGACGCTGTCATAAGTATCACTACCGTCGTCGCCAAGGCCGACCGCATGTCCCTCGACTTCCCGCAACAGCGAGTCGCAGTCTGACGAGGAAGATGACCATGAGATCTCCGCCATAGAAGGGGAGTCTGGACGGACGACAGAGGGATCCTCTCGACTGGGAGAGTTTTGGGCCATTATTTTGATGATTAAAAAGACAAGGAGCTGAGTTAAAACCCTAACGTCGAGAGGAAGAAAAGGATGGCTATTCTAAACGATGACTACTCAAACGCCTCAACTTGACGTTGACCATTCATATAAGAATGATAACGGTGAGTGTTCATGGTACCCCTAGTTCCCCAGAACCCAGGAACCAGAAGTGCGTAGACAACCAAAAGACAGAAAAAGAACTATCCTATGCGGAAAAATAAAACGGAGTAAGTCTCCCTAACCTCTACATTCCACGTATTTTCATACATACATGATTCAACAAGGAAAAACCCATGAGAAACAGAGCAAGCAGAGGATGACGGGGTTTACCGGTATGAAGATTTTCGGGTAGAATCGGGGATTAAATGCGGCTTCACAAAACGCCTGGAAAAGCGAGGAGTACGAGTTAGTGTTTTGCAGAAAAAGATTCCGGCGGAGCAAGCGGCAGTTCAGTAAATGCGGGGAGTGTTTGTGTTTTTAAGAAAAAATGGTTTTTGGGTTTCAAAAAAGGTATTTAAAGAGACAGAAGTCCTCGACCCCTGACCGTTGGATGAAGTTCTTAAAATCTAACGGCAAGGGAATCCCACCCAGATCTGACGATGACAAACAAGGGCGGGAAAAGGAAGAGTCACGATCCGAAGGCTCACATTCATCCTTTCGAAATAGAGCCTCACGTCAGCACAAGAAATTGGCCGACACGACAGTTGCGTCCCTCAAGGAAATCCGAAGCATCCAGGCCATCATTGCGGACGGAGGCTCAAGACCGGTTTCCCACACCCGAAGCATGGAAGTACGACCGAACCTAAGCTCGATGCCGCCTAAAAGGAGCCCTCGACCTGGGAGGTGGCTGTTGTGTGAGAAAATGTGACAGACACGTGAAAGAACGATGATATGACACGTGGCCTTAACCACTCCCCGTAAAGTAACAACCCTCGACGTTTGGGGGCTCCCTCCCAGTCCGTTACAAAAAGCCAAGTACGAAGTCCAACCTAAGGCGTCGATTATTTCTGGCGTCGACAGGTCGTACCGTCAACCTTTAGACATAGAAATCCCTCGATCGTAGAATCAACCGCCAAGAAGGACAAGTGGGTTAAGCAACACTAGCGATGAGGGGATTGCTCTTTGGGAAAAAACTTGACATGGCAAGTTGTGTACAAAAGTGGGGGATGTCTGCAAAGCAGGCATTAATTGCGAACCCTTAAACCGCCCCACAGGGGACAGAAAAGGGTTACAGGAACGCATAGAGCCGTAATAGAAGACTAATTGGCTGAGTGAACAGTACCCTAAGTGATTAGTGGGCTACGACTGAGTCTAAAAAGGGAGAGTACTTGAGTGCTTCTACCTACGAAGGAAATCAACCCAGCGAAGGAAGCTCCCAATATAAAAAGGGCAAGACCCCATACAGGAAAGGGGTTGAAATCCAAGAGAGGAAAAAGAGTTAGAGAGAACAATTGATGTAAATTGTAATCCTCTCAAAAGAAATATACAACCACAGTGGATGTAGCTCTGATTCTATAGAGTGAACCACTATAAAATCTCTTGTCTTCTTTATTTGCATACTTCTTTGATTAACGCACAACACACCTCTCCAATAAATTCTTACACACATTCAACACCAAGACCGGTAATCCAACGAGAAACCCAGAGGTAACCCAGCCTATTTTTGTTGATGAAAAATCACCGTCAACAGTTCCCTCAATTATATTATAATAAACTCAAGTATGCAAATGGCATTCCACCTATACATTGTATGTAATAGATTTTTGTTTTTTGTTTTTTTATAAACATTGTATATAATAGATTTAGACTTTAAATGACGGTACAAGATCTGCATACTTTTTATTTTTATATGATTTTATACAAATTTAAGGGACAAAATACTTGGCATATCGATATGTTAGCGTACCGGAGAATTTTTTTTTTTTTTCTTTTTGCTTATAGAGAGGTCCCTTTTTTTAATGGACTACAAATTTATCTTCTAGTAACTATAATTAAAAATAAATGAGATTTTCTGATACACTTGGCGTACCGGTAGGTCAAGTTTTTTTAACCATTAGATTTGCCTACTTTTTGACTTTTACGTGATTTTATGCAGATCCGACGGATAAAAAACTTAACCCATTAGTATGTTGGCGTACCAGAGAAGATCCATAAAAATAATTTAAACTTTAAAATAAAAAATAATTACTATCTAATCACGTTTAGAGTAACTTAAGAGTAAATAATTATAAGATAAATACAATCTATTTAATTAAATATATAAATTATCCTTGTAGTGTGCACGTTAGGGGTGAACAAAAACCCAACAACGTGACGAACCTGATTAACCCACCAAACCCAACCAATTTTAACATGAACCCGATCAAGAATTCAACCCAACCCACCCAACACGACTATTAATTGAGTGGATTTCGGTTGGGTTTTTCTTAACTAAATTAACCCGAACTCACTCAATTTATTTATCTATATAAATAAATATTTTTCTACCTCATAATATATAGTTTTTGTCTCATATTTTATATATTATAGTTTATGTTGTATAAGTTTTTATTATTGTTTGTCTGTTAGTTTATAACTTATATATTTGAACTTATTTTGTATATATTTTATTTTTATGTTGGTTTATAATTTATATGATAATTTTGAACCTTTTTAAGGTTTATATTATGATGAACGTTAGTTTTTTTATAGTAAAATTCTATTTTGGGTTGAAAATTTGTTTTATTTATTTATGATTTTTTTACATTCAATCCGATCAACCCACCTAATCCATCTAAATTTTAATTAGGTGAGTTAATTTTAAACTTTAAATTAATTAGATGGATTAAATTTGAAATCAACTTACCTAAACTTAAGTCTCGTTTATTTCATTAATTTGAGTTTTTAATTTTAGATAATTACAGTTAAAAGTTCTTAGAATATGTCATATTTAACTTTTTCTATTACAGTTAAAAACTCTAAAAATTATAGCATATCAATTTAAATTGAAAACTCGAATCCACATAGCGAAAAAAGTCTTAGGAGACGTTTGGTTCATGAATTAAAATCATGAGATTAGAATTATTTTTAATTTACATGTATTTTTTATAAAAAAAAAATACTATAACAAACTATAAATTATGATTCAAATTATGATGTGAATTCTCTTATCAAACGTCTCCTTAATTGATTGGGTTGATAAATCTAAAAAACCACCTAACCCACGAGGCCTTTATAAAAATAACTCTTTTGAAAAGTTTTATTAGTAAAATAATTTTTTAAAAATTTTTATTTACAAAATGACCTCATTTTATAAAAAATGAGTAAATATCTTTCTTTATAAAAAATAAAAAAAGTCATTTTATTAATTTCACTCTCTTGAAAAGCCATTCTAATATATTGCCCCTCACCCACGCGATGTTCACCCTTAGTGCACGTTACAGAGAGTCAAAGAAGACCGAATTACTGTAAAAAATAGATCGTAAGGCAACAGAGTGAGCGGATCGGAAAGAGATGATTTTGACGAGAGAAAGAGCGCTTCTGCTTTTTGAATCGTAGCCATGGACGCTTTCTCTGGATCTCTTCCGAGAACCTCAAGAGCTAAAGACAAGAGAATGGCGTCTGCTCCTGTGGTTCGCTTCCCGATCATCTTCTTCGTCAGAGTTTTGGGGTTCATAGTCGCCGCTCTGGTCCTCTTCTGGACCAACCATTTTCGTGGAGGATTGGCTCTCATTTCCGACAACAAAGATCTCATCTTCAATGTATCTTCTCTCTCCTCTTCTAATCCTATGTTTTTTTATTGATTTTTTAAGTATAACGTTGGTATTCTGAATCCATTTGCTTTTATGGTTGGTGGATTTTGCTCAATTCAGCTTCTTGTTATTTCTTTGCTCTGAATTTCTTGTAAACAACCCGTTTGGTTTGTAAGGTTGAATCAAGATTTAAATTTTTGTGGGAGAAAATACTGTGGCGGAAAGGTTTCAATTGTATTTCATTATTGGTTTCATTTGTTCTTCTAATATTATGAGTACCGTCATTGCTTGAATATGAGTACTAGTTAATATTGAGGTCTGAATTATGATAACTTGGGGCTTTTATTTGTTTATCCTAAATTGTACTGTAATATACTTTCAATTCAGTTAATTTATTTCTTTTTCTCTAATTGCTAGGAGAGCTTTTTTTATTTTCGATTTTTTTTAACTGTAAAACCGTAGTGTGGTTAGTTTGCAAATTGTCAGTCCTTGTTTCTTTCTTAATTTCTTTGGTTTCTGTTGATCTTTTGGCTTTTAGCTGAGTGCCACATTGGAGGCCTTGGTGTTCTGCAGTTTGTCAAATCAAAAACCATTTGTTTCCTTAGTAGTTCGTCTCTCTTTGGCGAATTTGGAATTTTGTTTAAGTTTCTTTGGGGGTGAGAGTTTTATCAAGCTTTTGTAATATCTTTATTTATAGTATAATTTCTTCGCCGTCTCTGCCTGTGGACGTAGGCTAAAAGCCAAATCATGTAAATCGCTATGTTATTTTAGATTTCTGTTTTTCTAATTTTTCCTCGGCTTTAATGTCATTATTGTTTGTCTTGCAGGTGCATCCAGTGTTAATGGTGATTGGTCTAGTACTTTTAAATGGAGAAGGTAAATGTCTTTCCTCAATTGTTTGCGTATTCAATTGTATTTGGAATTCCTATTTGTATTTAATAAACAGAAATCTTGTTAAATATTCCGTCCAATTTGCGTAGAAAACTTTTAATGTGGTATGAAGTCTTAAAAGTTGGTTTGCCATGTATTCTTCAATCTTATGGAGTTTAATTGTCCAATCTCATGTGGGAGGTGTAGAATGTCTTGTCCTCGTTTTGTATTCTTCAATCTTATCAAAGCACACTTTTAATCAAATTGGAGTATGATTCAAGTGCTTTCCCAGTTCCAAAGTTGTAGTCTGCGGGACTGTATTGATAAACGTTTGAACTAAATTTTGGTGGATTACAAATTAGCTTACTTGCACTTTATCTGTCCTTGCTGGTAAAATTGCAAAACTGATAATCACAAGGATGTTCTGTGTCTCTGAGACCTTGCCAACCGTATTTCGAATAAAATCTTGTGATTATTTTGAAAAGCTATCGCAGAAATTATTGATAAGCTAGGCATGCCTAGTTGCCTATGAAAAATGAGTAACCGATTTGAAGCATCTCAATTGTTTCGCCATGATGGTAAGTTCAAATTTCTGACGTTGACTGACTTTGGATTGGTGCAGCCATGCTAGCATACAAGACCATATCGGGAACAAAAAGCTTTAAAAAGTTGGTTCATCTTGGCCTGCAATTCCTCGCTTTCTGCTTGAGCATTATCGGTGTATGGGCTGCTCTGAAATTCCACAATGACAAAGGAATCGACAACTTTTACAGCCTGCACTCTTGGTTGGGTCTAGCCTGCCTGTTTCTATTTGGCATCCAGGTGACTCCTTATCATTTTTCTCTAGTTTACAATTACTTCAAAGTTTTCATTGAAAAGTTAGTTTCTACATTTGCCCTTGTGGAACGTAAAACTCTTTTTCCTCTGATTTGGCACAGTGGGCTGCTGGATTTGTGACTTTTTGGAATCCAGGCGGTACAGCAAGTAACCGGGCTTCTTTGCTGCCATGGCATGTGTTCTTTGGTGTTTATATCTATGCCCTTGCCATTGCTACTGTGACCACTGGGATTCTAGAGAAAGCAACATTTCTGCAAACCAACAAAGTAATATCACGCTATTCAACAGAGGCTCTGTTGGTGAACTCTCTCGGTGTATTGGTTGTTGCACTTGGCGGATTTGTTATTCTTGCACTCGTAACTTCTACCAACGATAAAGTTGATAACGTCAGAGAAGCTACAGAATAAGCAGACACCAAAGTGTCAGTGGGGTTTTTAAATCTTATTTGCCCATTGGAGTTGTAATGTAAGCTCGTCTGAGGATGATCGCAATTTTCTATACATATTCATAGGCAAAAGAGACTAGTTCCTTTATCATTGTCTGCTATCGCTCTCGTTTTGCTTGAATTGGCTATAACTCCGTTATCGTTCATCTGCTATCTCTCTCTCTCTCTCTCTCTCTCTCTCTCTCTCTCTCTCTCTCTCTCTCTCGTTATAACATTACCTTCCATGGTTATTTTAGAACATGGGGTTAAGATTATGCACATGTGAACCACAATAATTTCACAATTTGAACAAGAAATTGAACATGTAGCTTTTATTTTAGCATCTATTTATTTATTAGTCTTACCCAAAATCATTTCCAAGCTCGTATACGTGCCTGAACTTTATAAATAAAGGAACAACTTTAAGGTTGTCGTTTAACATAGTTTTGATTCCACAATGACAAGAACTTACCAAGATTTCAATCACAAGGGTTGGTCCCGTCATTTCTAGATTTGATAGTAAAAATATCCTGTCGTATCGCTAGTTAGAATTTTAGGCAAATGAAGATGGTTTATGAGAATCTATCATGCAGTGAGATCAATTCTCATACTTAAGCAATACGGATCTCTTGGATCAAAATTTGTCGGCAAAACATATATGTCCCCAATTCAGAGAAGCAAAAGAAGGAAAAAGAAAATGGTTACAAAATTCAGGAATCCGTCACTAAATCTGCCCGGAAAGGCGAAAATATCGCTCTCTTCACTGAGTCAGGTGAAAAATCAAATTTCAGAACATCAAAAACTTGCCGAGGCAAGTAGCTCTTATTCCAAAATGGTGAAGAACTAGAGAAGAAAACAAGCAACAAAAACTTCTCTAGCTTTATTGTTCTAAGTTGCTAATACTGATTTCTCAGCATGCACACAAGTTTGGATAGGCCTCCGTGGTCCATATCCCAACTACTTATATCCACAAGTGTTCTCTTCTGTATTCACGAACAATGACGGGCACACTCGTTGGTGGCACCTGAAAGAAACAAAGGTGGAGAAATATAACCTTTGTGGATATATTATAACTTAGTTGCAAATGAGTAAAATTAAAAAAATTAAAAAAATTAAAAATTCAACATAAAAAAGGCATCATTAATAAAGATAAACAAAAGGAACGCGACCATCTCTCTCAATCATGGTGTGCTTCTCATAACAATTTAAAAGAATGAATTTGAAGTAACAAATTATTTACCATGCCATAATCCGTGATTATCATTGAAATGTAGTCCGAAGGTGTAGCATCATAGCTGCCAATAAAAAATTAACAAGGCTGCTTCATCAATAGGGTAAAACGAAAATTTATGACATACAAATTGCTAGAATCATCTTCTGTGAAAAAAAAAAAAAAAAAAAAAAAAAAATTCTAGAATTATCAACGCTTACATCAGATTCAGAAGTTGTAACTTTTCGCTACTGGCCAAGTGATCAAAACTGTTAAGATCCACTCTACCAGGAACCTTTGAGATGGCATCTGGATCACCTGCAAGAAATGGAACAGTTACCTGAGGCACCAAGCAACCAGAGAATGAAAAGACATAACATAAATCTATTACTTCCAGAAGCGCATACCAAGCTCATTAGAGCATATTGAGTCAAGCTGCACCCTTTCATGAAACTTATATGCCTCACAACACACTAAGACTGGTACACGTAACGCATGCGCAACCATAGCAACGCACGCCGTTCCAACTCTTGAATATACTGTTCCATTGCACAAAACTGATGAAGCACCCAGAAAAACTCGAGTAACTTCATGCATGATATAAGATACAGCATTTATGTGAGTGTAAGTACAATTAAGGCCCTTTCCCACCAACCTACGAAGTAAGAGTTGGCCTTCAAGTTTTGGACGAGAGTCCACTATCACAACTCGAAACTGTTTGCCAAGTTCATGAGCATGCAATAGTATCATCTCAACTGCAGAGGAGGACCCATATGTGAGAAGAACATCACCATCTCTGATTTTGGTGACAGCATGTTTAACTATCACCTTGTCCGCAAGAATGATTTTCTCACTTATGAAACGATCTATATCTGACTGGAGCAATGCTTTTGCTTCCGATTCAGATAGAGTAAGAGGAAGCTTCGCAATGCGGCTTTTGAGAAACCTAATTGCATTCCCCATGCTGATTGAAAGGGGCCTGCACTCTATAAGAAAAGATACATAACTACTTATTTTTGCAGTCAAATCTCTACAAAGGTTTTTCTTAGGTGGCGTTAAATAGTCTTTGATGGCCTCTCGAAATGCTTGAAGCATTGCAATGCAACGAGCATTGCCACCAGATACATCTCCTGACAAATACTGCAATCCAACCTGGCACCAATATGGAAGGTAAAATTACAAAAGCGTAAGAAATGCTTTAGTTTCTACACGATGGTCTCAAAGACCTACTAAGAACACAATAGTCATGAAGTTCATCTAGCTAATACTATAAACTCAAAAGAAGTTAATATGTTATTCCATATTAACCAACTTCCAACTTTCAAGCATGCATCTCAAACTACAAAGTAAAAAGTTAACGAGATACCTTGTAAACAGCAGGATGTACGTGATCTAATTGGTAAAACTTTGATTCAAGATCAGGAAGCTGAGTTCCATGTTCATATTGAGGCAAATGCCTGAACAACTCGACTCTGTTCCTCGCCTCAGTTTGGTTCACCACTGCACGTCTTTTTGCCTTGTCCACACGGCTCTTATCATCATATTGCATGCGTGGTTGAGGAACTTCTTTCTTTCTATCCTTTTCTGCCAGCCGATCACCAACCTTCTTGTCAGAAGCTGCAACTGAAACGCTGTCATTCTTTTGTGAAGCCGTCTTCGTGCCTTTAACTGGTTTTACGTTCACTGAAGTAACTGCTGACGAACCACCACCAAGTAACTTGCTTCCTTCAGCTGAGGATACAAGGCAGTTAAAAAGATACGCAAAAGTCAAAACTTAACTTCATCAGTTGTACTGAATATGATCGGCCAAGTAACCTATTTCACTCTCAGGATAGTGATAAAACAGCAGAATAGGCATGTGCACCTTTTGCAGCAGCTTTTGCAGCTCGTTGAGCCTCTTGAAGGGCTCGCCTTTCAGCTTTTGTGGTTTTCTCTTTTGCTGGCTTTAAATTTGCAGTTCTATTATTTTGCATTTCTACCGATGCTCCTCCAGCTTTTTCTACATATTTGGGCCATAAATTGATGAATTTCCAAAGTTTTTCACAATCAATAAAGAATTAAGAAGGATATCAATGGTAGCAAGCATAATTCCCATTCTCACCCCCCTAAATTTCCAATTTTTCATGGGTTTTCAAACTTTGCATGTAAGAAACAATAAAAAGATATACATTTTCTCTCCAAAATATGCCAAAGCAGAGAAAAGAGAAGATAATATTCGTCAAAGAGATAGATTTTCGTCGTTTAATTAGCAATCTCTTCTCACAAAAAGGCATGCGTAAGCCAAAACCATCAGAAAGTTTTACTAATTGTTCAAAGCAGTTAATACTTCACGCCTAAATATTCAAAGCAACCAGGAAAACGAAAAAAAAAAGAAGAGAAAAAAGAAAAGCATGCTTACCAGCAATAACAGGAGGCATATTGACAACAGACACCGTCGTCAACTCACTCGCCGGGACGCTACTAGCCTTCAGGGCCGTCAAATCAAATCCTCCGCCAGGAAACGACGACGAGGCGGACGCCCTGAACGAACCGCCCCTGACTGCTCGACCAGGCGACAGAGCTACGACATCGTCCGAGGACTCTCCGTAGCCTCCCACCGCCGTCATGCTAGCAAACGACGACGACGCCGTCGGAGACGTGGCCGGAGCGAAGAAATCCGACGGGTTGTAGCTGCTGCCGGAGGGGATGGATTCCCGCCGGAGAGGCGAAGCGGGGTGATGAACCAAGGGAATCGGGCGGCTGTCGCTCGACTGCCGCGGCGGAGGGATCATCACCGGGGAGAGCGAGTTACCGGACGGGGAGATGTCGGCCGCCGGAGGGGAAGGCGACGAGGATGTCGAAATCGGGTCGGTCTGACCCGAATTGGCCCTGTCGGGCGGGGCGAAGAAGCCTACATGGCGAACCTTGGGATCGATGACCGTGCGCGGAGTCCGGCGAGAATCCATGGCGGAGGACAAGGAAGAAATGACTGGATTTGGGAAGTTTGAGAGGACAGTGGTTAGGGTTTGGAAGGAATGAGGAGCGACATTCGAGAATCCGAAGCTCCTTGGGGGACTGATTGGTTGGCAGGAAAATATTAAAGTTGCATTTTGCGGGTTTTCTCGGAATATTTTAGTGGGTTTGGACTTGATGGCTAAAGAGAGAAATAGAGAAATTATCAAAAAAAGAAGAGAGAGAGAGAGAGAGAGAGAGTAGAGCAACTAAAAAACCAGAGAACCAACCTTAAAGAAAAGGAACAAACAGTAAGACTGCAGCTTTTTGTCTTTTTCCTTTTTTTCTTCTCCTTCCAAATTTCGATCGTTAATTTATCTCATTCTGTTTTTATTTATTTATTTTTTGAATTTCAGTGTTTAGTGAGACTAATAAATCTCAGCTATATCATAACACTCAATAGCATGCTGTCAAGAGAGGGAAACTGGAAGTGTGACCGATAATTAAGGGGGAACAAATAAGAAATTTGTTAAATGACTACCTAATAAAATGAATTTAGCAAAATCACCTTTAATTTTTACGTTAAATGATCATTTGACCGTGCAGTGTAAAAAGTGATTGTGTGGGATGGTTCTGAAGTTATTTTGCAAATTAAATTTTCAAACATTATTTTGCTAATAAAACTTCATTGTTAAGTCATTGTTATGAAGAGTATGGAAAAAAATCTAATCGTCTGCTAAGAAGAAGAAAAAACGTTTATAAGTTGATGCTTAATAGAAAAATAGATTTTTTTTTACGGTGAAGTGTGCTATTTTACTAAATTAGTGAATAACACTTATTTAGGCCTGACAATTTGTATTGCCAAATTGTGTTTATGTCGCGTCATGCTTTTCAATTAATACTATAATTCTTGACACGAATCCGGTATATTTAACAGTTACATCAGAAGGGTTGACAAGAACACAACACGGCTAATCCGTTTACTAAATGAGTTATTACCATGTCGTATTAACCTGAAATACATTACAACCCATATACTGAAATATATTTTTAAAGCTAAAAAAAAAACTTAAAAGTAATTAGAAAAACCAACAACGTAACAAAATAGTAAACTTGAAACAACAAAACGAAGTACTAAAACAATAAACAATAATCATACACAAGAAAACAAGATTAATTTTTACATATCTTTAGAAAATATGTTATAAATGGGTTCATAATGTATCATATTTATTATATGACTACCTAATAAAATGAATTTAGCAAAATCACCTTTAATTTTTACGTTAAATGGTCATTTTGCCGCGCAGTGTAAAAAGTGATTGTGTGGGATGGTTCTCAAGTTATTTTGCAAATTAAATTTTCAAACATTATTTTGCTAATAAAACTTCTTTGTTAAGTCATTTTGATGAAGAGTTTGGAAAAAAATCTAATCGTGTGCTAAGAAGAAAAAAAAAACGTTTATAAGTTGATGCTAATAGAAAAATGAATTTTTTTTTACGGTGAAGTGTGTTATTTTACTAAACTGGTGAATAACACTTGTTTAGGCCTGACAATTTGTATTGCCGAGTTGTGTTTATGTCCCGTCATGCTTTTCAATTAACATTACAATCCTTGACACGAATTTGGCATATTTAACAATTTTATCAGAAGGGTTGTAACCCGTTTACTAAACGAGTTATTACCGTGTCGTGTTAACCTGAAATACATTACACTCCATATAGTGAAATCCATATTTAAAGCTAAGAAAAAAAAAAACTTAAAAGAAATTAGAAAAACCAACAGCGTAACAAAATAGTAAACTTGAAACAACAAAACAAAGTACTAAAACAATAAACAACAATCAGGCACAAGAAAACAAGATTAATTTTTACATATCTTTAGAAAATATGTTATAAATGGGTTCATAATGTATCGTATTTGTGTCAAGTGTCAACTGAGTTATGACACGTTTAATAAATGAGTTATTGCGGGTTAATTTCGTGTTGGAGGGTTCATGTTATGTTAACCCTTTATTTAATCATGTTTGGCGGGTTCAACCCGTCTTGACGCAAACCAATTTAAGGCAAACCAAAACCCTTTAACTTCGTGTGGATTTTAAGTTGTGTTATCGTGTTATAGCTCAAATTGCCAGCCCTACAGTTGTTAAGCATGCTTCATCGATGGAAACAATTGTTTTTGACAGGTGGATTAGTTTTTGAACCATTAGATCTATGCAATTCCATATTTAAAATTTACTGTGCGTCACAATAGGGCTAGCAATTTGGGTTACGACATGAAACCCGCACGAAATTAGAGGGTTTGGGTTTTCTTTAAATAGGTCTAGGTAAAAAAAGGTTAAACCCGCCAGACACGATTAAATAAAGGGTCAAAACGACAGAATCTTCTAACACGTAATTAACCCGAAATAACCCGTTTAATAAACGTGTCATAAAGAGGTTGATACAAACACAACACATTTTTAACCCATTTAATATATGTTTTATTTAGATATGTATAAATTTTTTTTTTAAGAAAAAAAAGGGGATACATAAGGAAGGTTCTAGGATTTCCTTACATTTTTATGAAATTTCTCTTTTAGTTTACTGTTTTGCTATATTTTTGATATTTTTGATTTTTTAATATTTTTTTATCATTAAGAGTTGAATTTCAACATACATGTAGTAAACATGTTTGTAGGTTGACACGACATGCTATTAACATGTTTAATAAACAGATTGGTCGTATCGTGTTCATGTCAACCCTGTAATAAAAGAGTCGTGTTTGAGTTTTTTATTCTGACACGATTATTAAATGGGTCGTGTTCATGTCAAGAGTTACATGACATGATACGAACCCAACACGACAACACAAATTGCCACTCCTAATTATACAGAACTGCTCATAATGCAGATCTAACCTTTAAAAATTAATTTAACCATAAGAACACAGTTGCCACGAGTGAAGTATAATAACATGCTCCCCGTGAAGACAAAAAAGAAAAAGGGGTGTTAGGTTTGGAAGAAAGAAAAGATCAAGTAATGTGAGAAGATCGAAAATGATAAAGATAATTGATCATCATGGACTATAAGAAAAAGTAGAAAGAGAAGTTTTGTGCCTAATTTTTAACAGTGAAGTGGGGGTTTATGGTATCTCGAAACGTGGAATGTGGGTCTTGCTCTTTATTTATCATCCGGTAACGAAAGGAACAACAGTGGGGTTAGGAGAAGTTGTGACTTCTTTTCTGCCATTATTAACCACAGAGCCCATTGACGATGACAGGCCAATTCTTTTTTGCAATTTTGTTGGGATGTGCACGTGTTTCGTGAATTTCAATCGTTCTTGTGCCGTTTTACATGATTGTCTTTATTGACGACTCCTTTATCTTTCCTACCATAAACAGTTTGCTGCAACTACCATAGACTTTAGTGCTATGAAGTTTCAACATCAACATTTATCCCAACATATTTTCTTAATCTATAGCTACAAAAGTTTGATTTCATAATCGGACAACATAATCGTAGTTTTCCTTAACATGAACTGGTTTAACTTGACATGTTTTGGGGCTCATCACATTCACATTGGACGTATATGGGAAGAAATTAGATGGTAACAAAAGCCTGCTGTAACGAAAACAAGGTTCCATGACACACTAGTTTAATCTCCTGGAAAATACATGTCTAGATGATAGCGACATCTGAAAAGCTTAATGTGTAATTATGGATCCATGGAGAACAATCAAAAACTGATTGAATACTTTTTAATGCAATGACAAAAAGTATTGAATTAAATAAAACTTGGGCAGACTGGACCCTTTGAAATGCCAAGGCGAACTTCCATACCATGATGCATGTCCAGAGGCAGGAAGGTTTCAGAGTCACGCGGATCTGCAAAACACATCATTTAAGACATTAAGAAGATAACATAATCCAACATTTTCATTAAAGTAAAGAGTATACATGAGTGAAAAATATTTTCCAACTGCATAAGGGTGAAACTAGGGAATATTAGACGATGTAAGCTTGAAAGTGACAAGCCAATGGTTATAGTGGAAATAACTCGTTTGTTCAAACTACCTAGAGAAAGGAACAAAATGTAACTCTATCAATCTCTTAATGCCTGATTTGGCAGCTCCTAAGTGGAGGGAAATAACAGAAATCCAAACAGAAATTTTAAATCTCAGTCCATCTCGTTTGAAGTTTGAACATGGAAAAATGAAGTGAATCTAGAGCTCTATTCAATCTCACGAAGAGGTAGGGCATTTGGTCTACCCATAAACTTTAGCTACTAAGGGAATATAGTGAATGAGCAGAAAATACTAATAATAATAAAATTAAATTAAAAAAAAAAAACTTCCGGCAAATTTATGAGGAAAAAGATGTGAACAAGAGTATCTCAGTACTATAAACATTAAACTTCAGCGAAATTTTTCAAGGAAAGATCAACCTGCAAAGGAAATAACATTATGTAAGTTCAAGGACAATAGTTATTTACCATTCAGATAATCCTCAAAACCAAAGTCATCCAAGGTTCCAGTCAGCGCCTCCAGACCAAGCATTGAAGAAGAAATTGCTCCAGGAGGTCTCTGAAATCTGTAATTCATTTTGAATATATACAAAATAATCTCAAAATATGGAATGGCCTAGAACAACCAAAGCATTTGTGTCTAACAAAGCTGAGCTGGTGGCACCAGAAAACATGAGATAACCCATTATTCCTCATCTTGCAATCAAAGGAGCATATTCCCAAGAAAAGGCAATTTAAACGAGTACGCAATCAGCTATCTCAATCAGGCATAAAAACCCTAGAAGGCCAGGACCATAAAACAGGTCCTAAAATTACTTCTTAAATGCTTAAAAACCATGTCAATAGCTGGTTACTAAGAAAGAGTATTTCAAGTTGGCATTTTCAGAAGTTTCTATCTTCTAAAGAACATATCCTCTATATGAAGTGAAGCACAGTTGAGTGAGAGGTTTCCACTTACAACGCTACCAATATCCCGTAAAAGAAAGACAGCTACACACTTCCATAACAGCTATAAAAATACCATAAAAGAAACACGGCTACACACTTCCCAAAGGGCAAACCTTTTGACTTTCAATTCAGCACAATATAGTTTTTATCTGAAATCCACGATTTCCACTAATTTCTGTATTATGACTTCCAGCCAAGGCCCTAGGTACACAGATAGACACTTAGCCAAAGCAGAGCACTTGAAAGTTAACACCCCGTACGTAGTGCCAAATTCTAAATTTGTTCTCCCTAACATTAGATGTAAGAGATAAGACCGAGATTTGAGTTATCCAAATCATCCAGTTCAATCCTAAATTTTTCATTCCAGTATTTAGCTAATTGCTTCCTAAATGATAGCAAGGATATCTAATTGTTCCAGCTCCAAACTTTGAGCTAATTCCTAAATTTTTTTTGAGTTCCTCTAGTTTGCTAATTGCTTCCTGAAAGGAAAGCAGAAATCTTTCATAGGATTTATACTAGATGCCAGCACTGACTCTAGACATTATAATACCTTACACTCAGCAATACCAAGCATCAAAAGCGTACAGTCTCCTTTCGAGCAAGTCAATTGAAGGACAAACATCTACAAGGTTTCCGCATAATACGATAAAGAACTAATCATCAATAATCTCACGAATCACGATAAGGGTCTCTCAAAAAAAAAAATCTAATAATCATACAAGGTTAAGACAAACGCCTAATACTTAACCTAGGTTAAGAAAAACCAGCGTACCGTGAAAGAATTTGCCTGTCAAGGTCCATCTTCAACGGGAAAGCACTTCCATATGTGTTTCTAAGGATTTTCCTCTTCATCTCCTCCTGTGTCCTCCTCGTCTAATGCGCCGAAAGATAGTCAGAATCATAAACATTTCACAGCTCTTAAAATCAACTGAGAAAACAAAATAAACCTAAAACAAAGTGATTCTTTAAAGAAAACAATTTTCCATCGAAGAGTTCGTTTAGAGCATCAGCACAAACAGACATATCATCAAAACCATATAATCAGTTCAAAACCCCAAGAAAATTACCCTAACTGAGGCGAGACTCACATTCTCAGCTTAAACAGCGAAAGATACTAACTAAGAAACCGACTTTCCACTAGATTTTACCGCAAAATTTTCTCGGAAACCAAACAGAGCGCGAACAACATAAAAGCTAAGGTTTTGAGATAGGAATTACAGATTGGTAAGCTGATTCGAGGGGATGAGATCCAACGATGTCGCTCTTGACGCCGTTGAGGCCGAAGCGAAGCGCGTCGTTCTGAACCCCTCCGATCTCGTGCGCAATGGTCTTCGGCGCCTCCATTTTTTCCCTCTCTGCTCCTTCTTCGTCTTCGCTTCTTCCGACGGGATTCTCTCAGAAAACTTTATGAGCAAGGCAAGATCAGATGTGTGAAATCGATTGAGGTACGAATCGTAGCGTTTTGATGAACATAAATGGGTCAGAGAAAAGATTATAAAGCCGAAAGCGCATGATACGACGTCGGTTCTTTTTTTTTTTTTTTTTTTTTTTTTTTTTTTTTTTTTTTTTTTTTTTTCTCTTTCTCTTTCTTTTTTCTTTTTCCTGAATGGGCTCAGCTTGGAGGACTTAGGGAGTGGGTTATCAACCTGAATAAGCCCGGTTTAATGGGCTACGTACAAGGGTGATTTACACACGTAACAAAATTTGAATATCAAAATTTATATTTAACAAAAATTTTTTAAATATTACAAGAATAGCAAAATTTAATATCATTTTTATATCACTAAAATAATTACTATATCATTATATGGTATAAAATATGATATTATTATGATAATTACTATGTCATTTTGCTATATTTACAATATTTTGAGAATTTTGCTAAATTTCAACTCTAAGTTGTGAAATTTTGCCGTGTAATTAGTTGAAAGGGGCAAAAAAGTATTTACACAAAGCGATTAATTTTAAACTCTTTGTTGAGAATATGTTTTCAATTTAACATTATTATTAATTTATCTATTTTTGTGATTATTGAAATAATATTATTCTGGATTAACTTTTTTTTTATATGGGTGGTTATGAATTTGTATAACTGATTTTATGAGTAGTTAGTGACATTTTACTTATAATATAGGAAAAAAAAACTTAAAAATATTTTACAAGTAAAACAATTAATATCATTAAAATAATTAATACATAATATTGCTATAAAACAAGAGTATCTTTGTAATACTATTAAGTATTATGTAATTTTTGTAATTACTCAAATATTTTAAAATCATAACCATATTCAACCATCCACTCTTATAATTTTGGTATGTGCTGTAATTTTTACGAAAAAATTGCACTGCATAGCATATTTGCATGAATAGAAATTGAAATAGAGTATTTTTTAAAAAATGTCACTTTTCATACTATATAAAAAGGTAAAACTATTATAATAATTAATTTTTTCTGATGGTAAAATATTCTAAATTTTATTATATTTTAACATGACTAATAAGATTATATTATATGTCTAAGGACCGGTTTAGTTCATTGATTTAAATTTTTAATTTGAGTTGAGATATGACTTTTACGTTAGATGTGAGTACTTTTTACTGTAGTAAAAAAATTAAATGTGATTATTTCTAAGAGCTTTTTATTATAATAAAATTAAAATTTTAAATTTAAATCGGTAAAATAAACGAAACTTAAATATCTGATGGGCAAGCTTTCTATCCGATCCATTTGGTGTCAATCATTGACACAACTCTTGTGCTGCTGTGCACCACAACAACGATGCCTAAAGCCTAAACCTATGGGCCGAATCCCCAAGTAGACAATCCCTAAGTATTCAAGCAAGTTGCCAAAGGGTATTCCTAAAACTAGTAAGTTTTCTATAAAAGTCATATAATTAAATTCAAATTTGTTAAAACTGATATTCTTCTAATTCACTCGAAAAAAAGGGTAAATTATGTATGGTATTATTTTTCTTAAGATGGTATTTCTCTAATTCACCTGAGAAAAAGGTATAAATTAGACTGAATGTATCACTTTTAAATTATAGTTATTCACATATATTGTCTTTACATGTTAGTTAGGCTTAAATCTTTTCATATAATTGGCATACTTGAATAAAACGACTTTTTACCTAGAAAAATACCTCTTTTCTAAAAGTGTTATTCTTCTATGTTACACTAGATACTAGATAGGGGGAAACAGAGAATATATAATTAGAAAATGTGTACTTTAACTTCTTTTTTTAGCAAATTAAAGGTAGACCAGCTGAATACAAATGAAATTTACAACCATGCTTAAATAGAGAGAAGCAAAGAAAATAGATCACTGGGGATAAAGAGAACATCCCTCGATGATCATAAGTAGTGACATGGGCATCGGCAAAGGGTAGAGCCAAACCAAATAAGTCATGCGACGGAGGCGTACATCAAAATTATAGAAAAAATGGACTGAACTTTTTATGAGGTGGTCTCGTGGCTCTGTTCATTTCACCGATTCGAGTTTTGTTACAGTAAAAAATTCTTAAAAATAGTGACATTTAACTTTTTTATTAGAATAAAAAGTTCTCACATAAAGTCACATTTCAACTCGAATTAAAAATTTAAATCAGCGAAAAATTTTAGAGGCAACAAACTACAAATTTCATAAAATTTTATATAATTTTTTAAAGTAAATTTCAGGTGAGATGGATGTCCACCCTCGATTATAGGTGACTCCATTCATGAACAGGGTCGAAAGAGCCCAAATGTATCCAACCTGTGGACGAAGCGCGAATAAAAATCTGGTACCACTAAATAAACTACAAGATGTTGCACTCAGTTTGTAGGCGTATATACCGTTTCACATCTCAAATTATAATTATAATTTTTGTATATAAAAGAAAATACTGTGATAAAAAAATTAAATTTAAATTTTTATTAAAAAACACAATAAAAAAACTTGAGTCGTGAAAAATAACAAAGTTATAATGTTTGGCATTTGTTCCTTGAACAAGATTATGAGTCAACATTCTTCTTTATAGAAAAAACCTTGACATTTGCAAAAAAAAAAAAAAATGCTACACTGATCAATCAAACCATAATTACGCGATTTGAAGCTCCAGGCTTGACATTAATAATGCATATATGTGTCAGTACTTCTATTTCTGCTTTGTCTATAAGAAAGCTTCATTTTTTTTTAATTTTTTTTAACTTTCTTTAGGTAGATCTGATAATATTAATTTATAATCCTTAAATTTAATTAAAATTATATTTAGTTATATATAAGATATATAATTTTTAATATAAATATAACGGTTAAAAAATAAAAAAATTATTTATTTTATTCTGTTCCTAAAAAAAAACTCATTTTTTTTACCGCCTATGAAAACTAACTAATGACAACTTCATAGTAATTGACCTACTAGAGTACAATGCCAGCTCTTACACCCCTAGTGAGAGCTATTAAAAAATTGCTCAGTCCAAAAATGTCAAAAATTATTCAAGAACGACAAAAGAATACGGTACGCATTCATTACAACTGTAGAGGTCATTGTTTCATATCTCTAGGCTCATTCATACACTCTTTGCAAACCATACACGTCCCATTTGTCGGGTTATTAATTTTATACCCAATTTTTTTTTATATTTTTATAATAGAATATGAAAACAATACACTATTAGTAAAGTTATATTTTTGAACCGTTATCAGAAAATATCTCTTATCGTATTTTTTATTTTAATATCATTTTAATTAGATTCAATGATTAAAACATATACTGTCGGTATGAAGTTTTATAATGTGTTTGGTATGCATGAAAAGTGGAAGAAAAAAAAATATTGGAGGGATTTTTGGATAGAAATTAAGAAGTTAGCTTGTTTGGTAGAAAGAAAATTGGAAAAAAAAAGAAAAATTAAATGAAAATTTTTATTAGCATGTCCCATCATATTCAATCCATCTAAAAATGAGTGAATTTTAAGAAAAGAAAATACAGATAACTACACAAATAAAGTCAAATTGTTGAGTTGTCCTCATTTGTCATCTAAAATTGTCCTCATTTAGACAAAAAAGTAATTACACTAATAATAATTTTCTCATCCCTTTAGTTTCAATTCCTATACCAAACAAAGGAAAATAAATTTAAGAGACGTTTAGTTCATGGATTAGAACAATGTGATTAGAATTATTTTTAATTTACGTGTATTTTTTATGAGAAAAAATACTGTAACGAACTACGAACTATAATTCAAATCAGGAAACAAATCTAGGTACCAAACAACCTCTCATTTTGTTTCTTTTGTATCATACCAAATAAGTTAAGAAAAAATTAAAATTTTTTCTATCTTTTTAATTTTCTATGTATTATAATTTTTCTTTCTCTCTCATTTTCTTTCCTTTTTATCAAACAGAGTGTTAGTGTAGAAGTTTTTTAAAAAAATTTTTTTTTGCCCTTAATTAGTAGAGTATATACCCGCTGACTGCTGGTAATAATAAAAAAAAATTTTTTGCCCTTAATTAGTAGAGTATATACCCGCTGACTGCTGGTAATAAAGTACTATCTACTCGTAAGTCTAAGTCTAACCCTAAGCGATCACATCTCTTAATACCATCTCGGATACACAACATACTCTCTCCATGCACTTTGTTTTTTAATGCAACTCATACGTACAAAAGTTTCCCTTACCGATGTAATTTGAAAAAAAAAAAAAAAAAAAAAGAAAGAAAAGAAACTTTGGACAAAATAATATTTACCGGTCCAAAGTGAGAGAATAAAAAGAGAAAAAAAAAAGTAGGGTTTGTAGATATATGATACTGGATTGGTGGATTTTCTTTTCTGGAGCATGGTCAAATCAGGAAATTAAAAGCTAGGAAGATTTTCACTGGGTATTATATTAGATTCTCCGTAGTATTTGCAGGAATTTTATATTGGATATTCTGCAGAGCCTCACTGATCTCCAACTGACACACTAAATTACTGATTACTGTAGCCGCCATTAATTTCCTTTCTATTTCCCTCTAACAACTCACAAGCCAGCAAAAATCCACTTCTACGACAATGTATATTTTGCTCTTTGAGTGACCGTTTTCCGTATATTCCTAGCTACCACAAATGAGCAAGTGCAAATTTCAAAAGAACCCCCACGAAAAAGAAAGTTCACTTCTCTCTCTCTCTCTCTCTCTTTCTCTCTCTTCTTTCTCTGTTTGAGAATTTTAAGTGTATGTGGCTTCTGCAAAGTAAGTACCAATTTTAGCTTTCTCAGCTCGTTTTCTTTTCTCATGCATATATATATATATATATGTATATATCTCTGTGTGATTATATATTATTCGTTGTTTGATGAAATGTCTCCATCTCGTACCTTTTTAGGGTGTGTAATGAACATTCATGTTTTTTTTTTCCTTCTGAGCTATAGAATTAGTGTAACTGTGTAGATTTCTGTTTGTGTATTAAAGGTCGCCGGTCTAGGCCAGACAATGTCGTTTCAGTAACGTAAATCACGG